CGTCTGTCCGTGCCCGGCTGTGCACGTTCCGGGGGGGGGAAGCGGGGTTATTGAATCCCCCCCCACCAAATCACGCTCCCTCCCCGCCAAAATCCTGGTGCCACAGTTGGCCAGGGAATACGGGATGGATTTCTACGAGACCAGTGCCTGCAGCAACCTCAACATCAAGGAGGTATGGGGGGGCTGGGAGGAGGGCCGGGGGGTCCCGAGGGGACTGGGAGGGGGGCTGGAGGTTCTGGAGGGGTTCTGGGCGCGCTCTCTCGGGCTCACATGCCCCCTCCCGCAGTCCTTCACGCGGCTGACGGAGCTGGTGCTGCAGGCGCACCGCAAGGAGCTGGAGGAGCTGCGGGGGCCCCCCCGCGCCCCCACCCTGGCCCGGTTGGAGGAGGAGGAGCAGCAACCTCTGCAGGGCGAGGACACCCCCAAGACCTGCTGGTGTTGAGGGCTGGGACCCCCCCTGACCCGGCCCCCGGCTGTGCCGGGAGGGGGCACGATAGGGGCGGGATTGGGGCGGTCACCATGGAGGCGGGGAGGGACACGGGACACCCCACAGGGAACGGGGCGGGGGGAGAAGGCATGGGGGTGCCCTCCCCGATGTGCAGAGTGGGGTGGGGGTGTCCAGGTGCTGTGTGCCCACCCGGTGTCCACTCCGTGCCCGAGGGCACCCCCGAGTTTTACACACACGGTTTGCAGAATAAAGGTGATGCTGGAGGTGCTGGTGGTCCGTGTGCTCGGTGGGGGGCTGTGGGCACGATGCCGTGGTGGTGGTCACCATCCAGGGGCACCGGCACAGGGAGCAGCGTGCGGCGGGCATGGCCTGGGCACGGACACCCGAGCAGTGATCAATAATGGAGGGGGATCCAGGGCGGCAAGGATGGTGTCTCCTTTCCAGGCTGGGCACGGGAACATGGGACATAGCACCTGCAGGGTGCCATGGCCAACACCAGTTGGATGGGTGGTTCCTGGGATGGGTGGTTCCTGGGATGCTGGTCACTAGCATATAGGAGGACACCGAGATGCTGCCAGGCACTGGGATGGGCAGGTACCAGGACAATGGTGGGCACCACAGCAGACGGGCCCAAGGATTGAGCTGGCACTGGGACCAGCAGGCCCTGGGATTGGTGGGCACTGGGATAGCAGGACAGGAGACCCCAGAGGCAATGCCAAGGCAGCGCCAGGCAAGAAGTGCTGGGGCACCCGTACCCACCGCCCTCCACCCCACACAGCCCCAGCTCCCAGACTCCTGTTATTCCCCAATTCCCACCGTCATTCCCAAACCTTGGGAACACGCTGTGCCAGGCCGGCAGCATCCCTCATCCTGCGGGCACTGGGACGAGCAGCTGCACCGCGCCGTGCCATGAATTATTGAGGCAGGTGGAGCATCGCCCTGGCCCCGCGCCACCTTCCTCCTTCCACGGGTGGGACGGGCAGCTCCGGTTTCTCCCGAGCCGCGGCGGGGCCTGAAGACCTTTGGACCATGACGTGGGCACCGGGAAGCCCTTAAGAGGCGGTACGGGCGCGGGGGGGAGGCAGCCGCGCCCGCAGCCATGACCGTCCCCATCGCCAAGTCCTTCTACGACCTGAGCGCCACCTCCCTGCAGGGGGAAAAGGTGGATTTCGGCGTTTTCCGGGGCCGCGTGGTCCTGATTGAGAACGTGGCGTCGCTCTGAGGCACCACGGTGCGGGATTACACCCAGCTCAACCAGCTCCAAGCCCGCTACCCCCGGCGGCTGGTCGTGCTGGGCTTCCCCTGTAACCAGTTTGGCTACCAGGTAAGTCTCGTGGGCTACGAGGCGGGGAGGGAGAGGGGGCTGGGAAACGCACAGCTCCCGGATTTCCACTTCCCCGCCGCAGGAGAACGGCACCAACGAGGAGATCCTCAACACCCTAAAGCACGTGCGGCCCGGGGGCGGCTTCGAGCCCAACTTCACCCTGTTCCAGAAGTGCCAGGTGAACGGGAGCGACACCCACCCCGTGTTCGCCTACCTCAAGGCTCACCTGCCCGCGCCAGCCGACGAGGCTGCACACCTGATGGGCGAGCCCCGCTTTGTCACCTGGAGCCCCGTGCGGCGCTCCGACATCTCCTGGAATTTCGAGAAGTTCCTGGTGGGGCCCGAGGGGGAGCCGTTCCGGCGCTACAGTCCCCGCGTCCCCACAATCCAGCTGGAGCCTGACATCCAGCGCCTCCTCAAGCTGGCCAAGTAACCCCGGCTCTGGCACGGTCCCGGCTCTGATGTGATCCCAGCTCCGAGGTCACCCTGGGGTGGCCCCAGCTCTCCGTAGGGTGACAGCTCCCTCTGAAACTGCCATGGGGAGGGTGCTCGATGGGGATGGAGGGTTGGAGCTGCTGGGGCGGCGCGGGCTGGGTGCAATAAATGAGCCGGAGGGAGTGTGCCCAGATCTGTGTAGTTTTTGGGAACATACCCAGATCCACAAGGCTCTTGGGAACCTACCCACAGCCATGTGGGTTTTGGGGGCTGTCGGGAGAAGCAGGAAGGAGGCTGCAGCCCTGAGGTGCCAGACCAGGAAACAGTGGCACAGGGGTAGGTGGGGGCCAGGTCGGCTGCACCCAGTTCCCTGAGGCCGTTGCTGGGGCTGGTGCCAAGAGCACCACCTCACTCACCCCAGGGCAGTGATTTCCCACACCCAGCTCCTTCCTGCCTCAGGAATATGGAATTCCTGGCAGGGCAAGGCTGAGTTACACACCCCAGGGCACACAGAAGTGACCCCAAACCAGCTCCTCAGGGAGGGAAAATAATCAAGTTGTTTCTCTGCAGGGTTTAGGAGAGCACTGCGAGTGCAGTGGGCTCTCAAGTGCTGGGAAGGACTAGAGAGGAATTCCATAGGCTCCTGGGATGGGAGAAGCCCCCTTGATCCTTGCATCAGCCCCCAACACCCTTCACCAGTTCCAGGGGGTGAAGCCCAACCCCAAAATACTCCCACCTGCACCACTGAGCTGTCACGTGTCACATTTATTGCCCCACACAAGAGGCCTCCTGAGGCAGGGATGGGGTGGGAATCCCTTTGAATCCTGTTTTGGGGTGACAGAGACCCTGTTTTGGGGTCCCCTTTATGTCTTCAGCACACGGGGGGGCTCAGGCCATGGTGCTGCACCCCATCCCTGCAGCTGAGGTCAGAGCCACAGGGCTTCCAGAAACACGGGAGCATCCGGTGTTGGGCGTTCCTTGCATCCAGGCTGGAAGTCTGGGGGAGAGAATCACATAAGGGACTCTGTGGTCCCCAGGGATCGTGGTTCCAGGGATCTCATCCCAGGGTACACACCAGTTCAGAAGAGCGGGGTCATCTGGCGAGGGTCGTCGGGCAGGATGCTGATGGAATCCTCGGCACGGCCGCAGAGCAGGCACAGCATGGTGTACTCCTGGGGGGAGGAAAAGGGGGGGATGGAAAAAGCGGGGCTGCCACGGCCCTGCTCCCCCACAGGGAAACCTGAGCCGGATCTGGTACCCGATCCCCGATTGCAATCAGAGCCAGCAGATCTCGTTTCCAGCCCCACTGGCTCCCCCGAGCCCTTTTTCCAGCAGTTTGCTGCATAGAAAATGTGACAGGAATGAGGAATGGGGGGCACAGGCTCCTCCCATCACCCACATTCCCATGCCAGGGGAGCTGGGCTCCCCCCACAAGGCACGGACTAGTGCCAGGAGCCTCCAGGTACTCCTGGGCACAGGGATGCAGCTCCGAATCCTTCAAGGCTCCATTCCAGGGCAGGTGGGAATCAGCCCATGAAAGGGTGGGTCTGGCATTCCAGAGGCAGAGCCAGGAAGGGGGTTGTGGGGAAAAAGGGCACACCTGGTAGTCGTCCACCACACTGAAGGTGTACTCGTGGTGTGCGATCAGGTGGTGGCAGTTCTTGCACAGGTCTGTCAGAACGGGGGACAGTGGAGTGAGGGGACACAGGCACTGTCCCTTGGGTTTATACCCCCCTCCCAAATTCCTCAGGACAAGCCCCCACCCTCTGTGCCTGCCTTCACTCCTGGAGTGCAGACCCCCTGTCCCCAAAGCATCTAATTCCCCCCCAGCACCTCACCCCCCTTTAACGCCCCTCAGCTCCCTGACAACCCCTCCCAAAACTGCAGACCCCATCCCTGGGAAGCCACCATTCCCATCCTCAGGGACCTCCTGAATATTGGGCCCCCAAATTTTCCCCTTCCCAAATTAACCCTCCCTTAGGCCTCCCCCCTCCTCTGAGCCCGGGTTCTCCCCAAACGCCAGGCCTTAAAAGTTCCCCCGAGCCCCAGACCCCTCCCAGTCCTCCAGACCCACCCCACCAACCTTCAGCGACCCCCTGAGCCCCAGGCCCCAAACGTCCCCCTCGGCCCTCAAGACCCCCAGATCCCACAGGTCACACCTCCACCCTCCCCGGTGCCCCCCCTCGCACGGTCATAGGTGACGATCTCCTCCCCGCCGTGCAGGCCCGCGGCCCGGTTCGCGACCAGCACGAAGTCCCGGCGGCCGCACTGTGCGCAGCCCACGAAGTTCAGGAGGAAGGAACCGCCCTCCAGGCAGGTGGTGCCCTAGGGCGGCAGCACAGGCTGGGACCGGACCGGGGAGCGGTCCCGGTGAGTCCCGGCCCGGCCCGTCCCATCCCGGCTCCCCCCCCTCACCCGCTCCGGGTACTCGGTGCCCACGCAGCCCCCACACATCTCGCGCCGCCGGCGCCCCGAGTCTCGCGAGAGCTGCGCACAGGGGGCGGGGCTTGGGGGAGGGCGGGACAGCAGGACGATGTCTGTCGTTGGGGGCGGGGCTTGATGAGGAAAGGGGCGGGGCGGGGGGGGTCCGTGGGGCTGGGTGGGGAATCCGGGGCTAGTGGGGGATACCTGGGGCTACCTGGGGGCACCCGGGACTAGTGCAGGACACCTGGGGCTGCCTGGGGCAGCCGCGACTAGTGGAGCACACACGGGGCTACCTGGGGGACACCTGGGGCTACCTGGGGGCACCCGGGACTAGTGGGGGACGCACAGGGCTAGTGGGGGACACCTGGGGGCACCCGGGACTAGTGGGGTACACACAGGGCTAGTGGGAGACACCTGGGGCTACCTGGGGGCACACAAGACTGGTGCAGGACACCTGGGGCTACCTGGGGGCACACAGGACTAATGCAGGACACCTAGGGCTACCTGGGGGCACCCGGGACTAGTGGGGCACACACAGGATTAGTGGGGGATACCTGGAGCTATCTGGTAGGCATCAGGGACTAGTGGGGGACACCTGGGGCTACCTGGGGACACCTGGGACTACTGAGGGCACACAGGACTAGTGCAGGACACCTGGGGCTACCTGGGGGCACCCGGGGCTAGTGGGGGACACACAGGGCTGGTGGAACACGCCTGGGGCTACCTGGGGGCACCCGGGACTAGTGGGGCACACACAGGGCTAGTGGGGGACACCTGGGACTAGTGGAGACATCTGGGGCTACCTGGGGACACCCGGGGCTAGTGGAGGACATCAAGGCTACTTGGGGACATTCAGGGCTGGCCGGGGGTTACTGGAACTAGCTGCGGGGCACCCAGGGCTAGTGGGGGACACTTGGAGCTACCTGGGGCACGTCCGGGGCTATTGGGGGACACCCAGGGCTGATCGTGCAGGGCCCTGGCTAGCTGGAGATCACTGAGGGCTAGCTGGTGGCTGGCTGGGTTAGGTGGAGGACACCACTGACTAGTTGGGGGACACCCAAGAATAATTGGGGCGTGCCTGGGGCTAGCTGGAGGACACTGAGGTCTGACTGTGGGGTGCCTGGGACTAGCTGAGGGACTGACAGGGCTAATGAGGGACAACAACGGTGAGGGAGGGGGGGCACCCAGAACTAGCGGGGGACACCCAGAACTAGGTGGGGGACGCTCAGGGCCAGCTGCGGGGTGCCTGTGACTAGCTGGGGGGCATCCAGGGCTAGCGGGGGACACGTGGGCTGGCCGGGGGGGCTCGCCGGGGACCCCCGCCGGTGTCGGCGGGGCGCTGCGCTGCTCCGCGTCCGGCAGGTGCCGGTGCCGCCGGTGCTGCCGCCGGTGCCGGTGCTGCTGCCGCTGCTGCTGCCGGTGATGCTGTCGGTGCTGCTGCCGGTGCTGCCGCTGCCCGTGCTGCCGGTGCCGCTGCCGGTGCCGCGGGTGCCGGTGGCGCTGGCGGCCGGGGGGCGCCGCTGTGCTGCATTGCGGGGCGGGCGGCCCGTCCCCGTCCCCGTCCCTGCGCCCATCCCCGTCCCCGCCCGCCCGGTCGGCTCGGCCCGGCCCTCCCGGGGGGAGCGGGGCTATCGGGGCCGGGCAGCGCCGCCGGCTCCGGGCAGGAATGTCCCTGCGCGCCCAGATAATGTTATTTATATCGCGGTGCAGGGCGGCTCCGCTCCCCCCGCCCCGCTCCCGCACCGGCCCCACCGCCGCCGCCGCCGCCGCCGCTCTCCCGCCCGCCGCCCCGCGCAGGTGAGACCCCGCGGCACCGGGATGCGCCGCTCCGGGGCGTACGGAGGGGCTCGGGGGGCGGCGGGAGGCGCCGCTCCCCGGGGACACGCGGGGGGGGGGGCACCGGGAGGCGCTGCCCGCCCCGGGGATAGCGGGCGGGGGGTCTGCGCCGAGCACCGGGAGCGGTAGCGGGGGGGCAGTAGGCACGGAGGAAAGTTTGGTGGGGTGTGAGGAGCCCTCCCGGGGGGGGGCTAAACCCCCTTTTCGCCCTGCGGGGGGGGCTTTACTGTCGCCCCGTGTCCCTCGGGGCTGCTTTCAGGAAGGACGGGGCGGGCGAGTGGCGGTGACTTTCTGGGGACACCCCGGGGACAGCGTGGGGACACCCTGGGGACACGTCCCCTGGGGTGCCAACCCCTGGAGGGTTCCCCACTCCAGTCCTAGGTGCTCCCAGCTCTGTCAAGACACGGTGGGCAAGCTGAGTCCGGAGGGTCTTGGTGGAACACACCGCCCAATCCACTTTGTCCCCCAGTTTTTAGCAACTGGGCAAACTGGAGTTAGTGGAAAGGAATTTTGGGGTGCCGTGCCCTTGACCACCCCCTATCCCAGTGCCAGAAGGATGCTCATGGGTGAGCATTGGGCTGAGGGAACTCTTACCCTCACCCCAACAACCTGGGGGTCCCCCAGGGCTGATTTCCCAGCTTTTCCCTTTATAAATTTCCAGCTCCCAGAATCAGGAGACTGGGGTGGCTTGGAAGAGGGTGGCAAGCCCAGGAGACTCAGAAAGCCCTGTTGGGTGCCAGGACAACCCCTTGCAGAGTATTTTTCAGCTATCGTGTGGTTTTGCGGCGCTGGCCGGCGATTTTGGGGTGTAGGGGGGCAGCTCCTAAGAAGGGAGCGGGGCTCGGCTGGCGCCGCGCGCAGGGGAGGCCTATTTATAGCCAAAAATGTCTGTGGAGTGTCAGCACGTGTGCGTGTCTCCGGCTTGGGTGACATGGGACAGTCCTGGCACGGCCAGTGTGTGGCCCTGGGGAAGCCCAAATTCTCCAGGGCGGGTGAGAATGTGGCTGGGGAGCCCTGGCTGGAGCGGGGCAGCGCGGCCAGAGAAGCCGTGCCGTGCCGTGCCCAAGCGCCCCGTGCTGTGCCGCGCGGCCATGCTGAGCGGGACCATCTGCTCCCGGATCTGGCCCTGCGCCTGGCAGGCAGGAGGCTGTTGGGGGGCTGGGGGATGCCCCCCGGATCCTGCCCCTTCCCAACAAGAGCGTGGCTGCCCGTGGGCATGGTGGAGATGCCAAATCCAGGTGTTTTGGTGAAGTGGAGCAATGGAGTCATGCCCAGCTGCAGGAGGCGGTGATGGGGCAGCATTTTGGGGTGTTTTGGGGGATCCCAATGAGTTCTTGTGCCCCGGGAATGGGTTTTCCAGCAGCATACTGTGGTGGCAAGGGATGAGCCAGGGAATGGGTTTGAGGGTGCCTTGGGTGCCAGGCACCGACCGCTGCCCTGGCTGCCCTCGGGGTGTGGGGGGACGTCACCTGTGCCCGGTGGGGGGACCACAGCAACGGCACAGTGCCAGCCCCTCACCGGGAAGTGCTGATTCACCGTGCCGAGTCGCTGGCCGGGGAAGGCGATGCTGCCCGGGCCGCGGCTGCAGGATGCTGGTGGTGAGGCCGGCACGCCAGCACTCCCAGCTTCCCGCACACCGAGCGGGAGGAATGACAATTCCCAAGTGGCGGGTGCCGGTGGCGGCATGGCTGTGCCAGGGAGGGATGCTCAGAAGGCGCCGGTGCGGCGGAGGGAGATTTAAAGGGTGGGTGAGCGCCCGCGCTCAGAACGCTCCCGTGGGCCTGCTGTGGCTCCCTTCAGCGTCATCTCCTCCTCCTCCTTCTCCTCCTCCTCTCTCTCCTCCTTGGATGCTCGCGGCCCTGGCCCTGCTGTCGTGTTGTCGGGGACACAGTCAGAACTGAGGTGTCCTGCAGAGACCCGACACAGCTCAGCACACCCATCCCACTGGCAGTCCCTGAAGTTCTGGGGGGAAAGTCCCCAAATTTGGGCTCCCACCGGGCTTTCCTGCCAGGGGGAGCCAGATGCTCCGGCAGTGGCCCAGAGCCACAGCACGGGGGGCTGCGGGCCTGGCTCCGGCACCCTCCTGCCCGCTCCTGCGTGTGCTCGTATGGCTGTTGTGTGTGTCCCATGGCCTGGCTCATGTGTGCATGCTCTGGCATGTTCCTGCGTGTCCTTGGTCATATGTGCACACTCTTGCACGCTCTGGCATGTTCTTGCATGTCCTTGCTCTCACGTGGATGCTCTGACATGCTCTGACACTTCTTCCACAAGCTCTGGCATGCTTCTCCCTGCCTTTGCCGGTATGTGTATACTCTGGCACACTCTGACGTGTTCCTGCATGGCCTTGCTCACACGTGCGCACTCTTGCACACCCTGGCATGTTTTTACACATCCTGTCTCACATGTGCACACTCTGCCATGCTTCTAAGTGTCCTTGCTCACTCTTGCACGCTCTGGCACGTTCCCGCTCGTCCTCGCTCCCATGGACATGCTCTGTCACACTTCTACATGCCCTTCCTCACACATGCATGCTCTGGTGTGCTCCTGCGTGCCCTTGCTGCTGTGTCCATGCTCCGGCATGCTCCTCCATGTCCTTGCGCGCTCCTGGTGGCACCAGCCCCGAGCCAAGCCCTGCCTGTGCTGCCCCGATTAGGGTGCGGAGTTGGGGTGCGGTCCAGCCCGACTGCCCCGATAACACCACCCAGGGGGACCCGAGGGGATCCAGGGGGTGCCCCGAGGGGTTGCGGGGGGGCCTGAGGGGTCATGTGGTGTCACAGCTCACAGGCACACCAGCGGTTTTGGGGCACACAGGGTTCCCCCCAGCACCCCCAGCTGAGGGCTCCATGCAGCTCCGGGTTGCCAGGGGTGATCCTGGATGCATTGCTGGCTGTGGGGAGCCAGAGCCCATCTCCTCGCACCCCTCCGGGGCCCCAGCAGCCACCGACAGCTGCTCAGAGGCATTTTTAGATACCAGCCATGTCCTATCTGTGTCTCAAATGTCCCCGGGGGTGGGTGGCCACCCCCGCTGGCAGCTGTCACCCACTTTCTGCCACCAGTGTCGGCGAAGCCCCTCTGTTGTTCAGGGGTTGGGGTGGGGGTGAGCAGCACCCGCTTCCCTTGGGGCGCACAAGGATTGGGGGAGACCCCCGGAGACTTGGATTGAGGTGCTAGCGGGACAGGAGAGACCTGGGTGGGGACACAGCACTGTAAACAGCCATCAGCACAGTTCAGCACAGCTCAGCATGGGGGGTCCTGGAGCACGCAGCACCCAGGTGCCCCCCCCCAACACCTGGGTGGGGTGAGGCTAAATCCCTCTGAGCAGCTTATCCAGCCGCTCTGAGCCGCAAATCCCCACGTGCCGCAGGGCCGGCGAGCCGCTGCAGCCGCGCTGATTCTCACGGTCCCGCTGTCCCCAGGGGCCTCTTGCCGGTAGCCAACGGCCACCGGGCCGGGGGACACCGGGACCATGACCTCGGCCAACGACTACGAGCAGCTGGAGCTGCAGCAGCAGTACAGCCGCATCAACGTCCGCTGGGACGCGTCCGACGATGAGCTGGACAACGACAACAGCTCGGCGCGGCTCTTTGAGCGCTCCCGCATCAAAGCCCTGGCAGGTGGGTGCTAGGTTCCCTTGGTGCCCCTGGGTTGTCCCCACTGTCGGTGACCCTGTGCCCACCGTCCTTGCAGATGAGCGGGAGGCCGTGCAGAAGAAAACCTTCACCAAGTGGGTGAACTCGCACCTGGCTCGTGTCACCTGCCGCATCTCGGACCTCTACATGGACCTCCGGGACGGGCGCGTGCTCATCAAGCTGCTGGAGGTGCTGTCAGGAGAGCTTCTGGTAGGAATCCCATCCAGCTGGAGACCCTGGGACCCATGCCATGCCATGCCACGTCAACTGTTCCACCAGGGCGTTGACCTTGGTGTTGGCCAGGGGTTGGGGTGG